GAGAGAGAGAGAGAGAGAGAGAGAGAGAGAGAGAGAGAGAGAGAGAGAGAGAGAGTGAAGAAAGACAGAGAGCAGAGAGGTGAGAAGCGAGCCGGGGCTCGCGCCGCTCGCGGCGGCAGTTTGCGTGCAGGTTTCGGTCGGGGCGGTCGCGGGGTCCTATCTCGTGGCGCAATGTTGTGTCCGGCCAAACACCGCCGCCCGCGCTGACGCCGCCGCGCGCCGCCGCGCCTCGAAGTGAGTTTAGCGAACACTGCTCCCCGGCCCGGTCGGCTGGGCTGGTCCTATCCATTCTGATCCTGGCCCGGCGGCCTTCGTCCCCCGGTGGAGGGCGTTGCACTGGTCGGTACGAGGGTGGAAATGATCCTGTGATCTCATGTTCGACGGATTATCGCACGGATTACACCGGATTACCACCGCTAGGATTTCGCTCGGACTATCCCCTGGATTACCACCTGGATTACCACCTGCTGGACCATCTGCGAAATTAACCTTGGATTACCCTCGGGTAACCCTGGATTGACGGGCGGTGCTTAGTGGATTTACTCAAGTAGTCTAACTCTCAGGCCGATGCCGGGCTACTGCGAAGCCCCACGGCGTTTCACTCTGTATTTTGTGTCCGGCTCAAAGTAATAAAGGGACTTTGGTCTTTTGGCCCGCCCGGGCCCACGGCCAGACAAAGGAAAGTAACGGATACCATCGACATGTCACTGGTGAAAAGTATGAAAAGGGCGTGTGTAAATGCACAGCTTTTGAATGTGTGACTTTGCACCTTTTTGCTCAGGCGCGTAGGAAGGTCCAAAAAGCTGGGGGGGCACGTGTTGTGGGTTGCCTACCCACCAGGCGGAGTGTATAGGTTCAAAAATTGATTAAGGGCATCAGGATTATGTAATTAATAGGACACTAAAATTTGCATGAAATGAAAATTTGCGTGGCATGGCCTGCACGGAAAAAAATGATTTCGTTGTGAGGATCAGTTACGTTCGGTAAGCTAAACTCGATGTAGCTGGAATCGAGAATCCGATACCAACAACCGAACCAACAACCAGAAGTTGGTTGCCACGACCGGACACTTGTACGAATACAACAAACTCCAGCTGGTTCTATCCGTACAAGTGTTCGGTCGTGACAACCAACTCTTGCTTATTGTGAGTATCGGATTCTCGATTCCAGCTATCGAATTCAGCCTACCACACAGAACTGATCCCCACGACAAAGTCTTTTTTTTTTCGTGTGTGGTCTGAGCGTCGTCCCTAAACCCATTTCCTTGATCGTGTCTTTCAAAAATTCTGGGGGGGCCTTGCCCCCCCAGCTCAGAACCTGGGGGGGCACGGGCCCCCCCGGCCCCCCCGTCTCCTACGCCATTGTTTTTGCTTTTCCAGTGCCGTTGCGCCTGTTGGCACTTGTAACGCGTGTTTTAAAGTTCTGTACGGACTTTCGCATGGTATGTCATCATGCGTCGTATGCCGCGTATTCCCGCGCCGGCCTCCGTTGCGTCCCCCCTGCCCGCAGGGCGCAGAGACCATCACAGCGCCCCTCTCACGGTTTTCGACGCCGGTCCCTTCTGTAAACAGGGGCCAAGGCTGAATTCTTCAAGTAAACCGTGCTCGCGTTGGGCGCCGGGTCGGGGGCAGGGAGGGGGGGGGGGAGCAAACTTTATTTTTCGGCTCGGGTGCATCGCTGTTCACAAATGTCAACACTGAATGGCCGCCCCATCGTCACGATCCTAGTGGAGGGGGCTGGCCCCCGGACGTGCGACAGGGGCTGCCCTGTGCCCCCCTCTCCGGCCCGCACACTGACACTCGGTGTTTGGTCCTTTTTGCGCTGCTGCCGCGCCGGCATAGTCACTTGATCCGGTATATGAGCTCTTATCAGTTGGGCCGCTGATAACGAAAGATTGCACTACCTCGTTTTTCTTTCTAAAAATTGACGGATGTATAATGATTTCTGAATCGCTTTCAAGTATCGCCGCGGCTGCTTTGTAGCCTATGGTTTCTAACACCTCTCGACAGAACTTGTAGACAATTTGAACGCGTGTGCACTTTGTGCGCCCCAACTCATCCGGTCGTAAAATGCCGACCCCAAAAGTCGAAAGTCGGAAACAACAGCGACTTTGTTTGGCACGGGTGGACACAGTGTGCGCTGTAAGCGTTCTGTTGAGGCCACCCTGACCTCCTGCCTTCACAGGTACCAGCTCCAGATGGCCGCACTGTGGTTCCTGGTCCTCGTCTGCCTGCGCTTGGACATCTTGGCCTCCGCCGACCCCAACCAGTCACCAACACCCTCCTGCGAAGTCTTGGTGAGCAGAGTCCCAGACGAAGAACCAAGTATATACACGCGCTCCATTGGATGTGTGGATGTTTCTGTTCGAGTCACTAAGCCAACTACTACTGTTGTCTTCCCCGTGCACGAAAAAAAACATATCTAGAGAGCCTACCTCTTTCGCGGCGTTCCTGTGTCCACTCTTTCCACTGATTACACTGGAAACAACAAGCGCACAACTCAGCAAACTTTTTGAGGGACGCTAATAATTGCAGCGCCTGTACAGGATCACTAACATTCCCTGAAAGTAGAACACTAGATTTTAGCGCCGTGGCATTTTGCATGCGTTTACGTCTCAAGGTACCGGACTGTGAGAAATGATCCTTTTTGGTCGAGATTGAAACGATATCGTTTTGATGCCACTACTTGTCGTCCAGCCCAGCACATGACAAAGCAGTTGGTTTTCTGAAGGTATAAAAACAAATCGGACGCCACACTGGTAAAACAAGTGTGCAATATTTGCACACCAACGTGTGCAAGTTGTGATTTTGCACATTACATAGTGTTTAACTCAAGTTGCACACTTGCGTGGTGTGCAAATTTTAGACGTTTTGTAAACGTTTAAATTCTGCACACTTGGACACACACAGTTCTATGCTGTCAATAGGGAACCATATGGTGTGCAGTTGCTATACGTTTCGGAAGTGTCGAAAGTTTAAACACCAATTGACGTATAACATAGTTAGACACCACAAAGTGTCGAGTAAATGCACACTTGAACTTAGACGTCAATTGACGTGCAAAATTAAACACTTGTTTTACCAGTGCACGCAGGAAATCATGTTCTTGACCCCTGATTTCCCAAGAACATTTGCATCAGGGGTAAGCAATTTTCATTTTACACCAATGCAATTTGCACTGGGACAGGACAATGATCTCGGTTCAGCCGAGCACATTTACTTCACTCAAGAACACTTTTTTTGGGTGGCGTTTTTCTGCCCCTAGCAGCGACGACTGCGAATCCACATATCCTATCTCTAGAGATACTGTGGTGGCTGCGCGCGGCGGCGGCGGCGGCGGCCAGAGGGTGCGTTTACCTCCGCACGCGCTATACTACGTTGTAAAACAAAGTACACAAACACGGGCACGCTCACGCCCCGACCCGACCATCTACACTGTGCGTGTGATAACTGCGACGCATCCTGTTGACGACCTGGTCTATCTGTATCTCTCTCTCTCTCTCTCTCTCTCTCTCTCTCTCTCTCTCTCTCTCTCGCTCCCCCTCTCTCTCTCTCCCCCTCTCTCTCTCTCCCCCCCCCTCTCTCTCTCTCTCCCCCTCTCTCTCTCTCCTCTCTCTCTCTCTCTCTCTCTCTCTCACACACACACACACACACACACACACTCACTCACTCACTCACTCACTCACTCACTCACTCACTCACTCACTCACTCAACTCTCTCTCTAACGTCCCCCTGGTGATTTTGTTGCAGGCGCCGACCCGAGAGCCTTGCCGATGGTTCAGGAACACTGACTGTGGGTACCAAAAAAGGGCGGTTGAAAAGAAGTGTGACTTGGGAAGCACCTTAAGCGAGGTGTTATACCAGTAATGACTCATACCCTTTTGTTGTATTTTATCCTTTTTTGAGGATGAAAGAGCCTAGACTGAAGAATAGCGCTAATTTTCCAGACTGCTGTTATGCCAGGCACCTTTCGAGAGCGGTACCGAATGTAACTTCTGCGTATGTAAGAGGAGGTGCCTTCTCCAGCACCAATGTTTCCTTCTACATTAATGCTAGTGATGAGACAGGTAAGAACTGCTTAGGTATGAAGCGCATTACTTTAGCGTGACGGAGACTTGCCACCTCAATTTTCTTCATAAAAGGGATACTTTTGCTTCCAGGGTTTTTTCTGTTGGGCAGGGCCGGCAGCAGTCCAGTGGACAGTGAGTGCTACTTAATAGAGACAAGGACAGAGGGAGAGCTGCAAGTGTTAGTGGCAAACTTGTCGACATCGGCAAACTATAAGGTTAATTATGGTGACTACTTAAGAAATTTTCACACATGTATGTACAATGCCTCGTTGTCTGTGCTGTGTCTTTTCCACGCTCGTTTCCACTGTGAAATTCTGAAACCGTTTGAAACTCTTTTTTTGATGCAGGGCTTCAGGATGCGTGCGTTGGAGAGAAAGAATTATTTTTGAATTCAAGTGTTCTTGACATCATATTCAAGGAATCAGAGTGAGTTTATTCTTTGAACAAAGTCGTCAATTTTTGAAAATGTTTCATTTGATCCGTTTATTTCATTATGAATAACATTGATCCGTTATTCCAGCGCTTATATTCAACTTTACCGGCCCCCAAATTTATCGCTGGTTCCTCCCGAACTGTCTTCCCTGCACTTCACTTTGTACAGCTCGGCCACAAATTTCACCTGTCAAAAAGACGGAAACTGCACTATTGATGCCGTTATACGGAAATCGTTTTGCTTGGACAATGTATAGCCAATCCTACAAATAAAACGTTGTGATTATCAGTGGTATTATGATATGTTTACTCGACTTTGCTTTGACTGTTGCAGCCGTACGACAATATTCTCGAGATTAAAAACGCCTCTCAATATTACAATGGGACCCACAGGCTGCGGTACCACTGTGCAGTGGTACGTCTCTCCTACGCGCGTTCATCAATGCGCGAAACACTCGAGGTCCGTCACGTTCCTACCTTGTGATTATTTTTCCCCCTTGTTTCGGTCCAGGTCGAGCTCGCCGGCTGCTGCCTAAAGACGAACCCCTACACCATACTGGCGGCTCTCCCCTTGCCCTTGCCCGAGCCCCCGCCGCCGGACACGCAGTACGCCACCTCCATGTACGTGGGGCTCGCCATCCTCGGAGTCCTCCTCGCCCTCCTTGTGGCGTTCTCTCGCCACATGCTTGTTCTCTACAGTAAGTTTGCGATCGTGCTTCGTCTCTTCGTCTGCTTCGTGCCAGTCACTCACTGAGGTGCCTCTTCTACGGCCCGGAGAGAGAACGGTGTGGACGAACGGGCAACCCCCTCCACCCTGTTCCATTGCACTTTCAGCGGGTTCAGACCCATGGAAGTGGTAGGTTCTTTAAGATTGGAAATTTGACCTACAAAACCCCTGTATGTCCAGGGGCCGCGAAAGTGCTTTGCGGCGGCGGCGGGAG